CTCCCAAAGTGCTAGGATAACAGGCATGAGCCCACGCACCTGGTCTCTACCTTTTTACTTGCCACTGGTTATTCCAGGGAAAGGATTGTATTGTACTAAGCTTTATTATCCTAGTGCCTAGTCTAGAAGCAGACTCCTAGTAAGTTCTCAAAAAATGGCTCTGAATTGAATAAATTTTTCTCTGTACTCAAAATACATTTTTTTTTGAGATGGAGTCTTGCTCTGTCGCCAGGCTGTAATGCAGTGGCGCGCTGCGTACTGCAACCTTCAACTCACTGGTTTAAGCGATTCTCCTGCCTCAACCTCTGGAGTAGCTGGGATTACAGGCATGTGCCACCATGCCCAGCTAATTTTTGTATTCTTAGTAAAGACGGGGTTTCACCATGTTGGCCACAATGGTCTTGATCTCCTGACCTCATGAGCCACCCGCCTTGGCCTCCGAAAGTGCTGGGATTACAGGTGTGAGCCAGCGCGTCTGACCTCAAAATACATATTAACTGTGTAATCTCCTTCTCAGAGGTAGGGAAATATTAGTACAAGTTTTCATAGCCAATTGTTAGCTTTAGGCCTAAGAACATTAGCCTCAGTGATTCCCCTTGTTTTAGATTTCTAGGGCCAGCTAGGTCCTTGCATTCCCCCACAAACATGCACACATAACTCTTCAGATGTATATATTCTTTCTTTATATGTATTAATATATTTGTTAAGATTTTAGTCAATCTTGTTGGTCTCAAAGGAATTGTGTCTCCTTAAGGTGCCTTTCCATACCTCTGCTCTGATTGTGTTGTTTTTAAAGCTTAATTCTCAAAGAACAATTCCCTTATTGGTAATTTATTAATTTATTCCGTCAACAAATATTTTACGCATCTACTATGTGCCAAGCCCTTGGTACTTGCTAGGAATACCCAGCATAACAAAAGAGACAACATGTCTGCTCTCAAGAAGCTGGCAATCTATTGTGGAAATTTCCTAATTCCTGGGGTCACTTCCTATTTGTCTCCAGAAAAGAATCCCCAGGTCCAAAATACTATATTTTTCAAGCCACTTAACAATAAAATAAAAAAGAAAAATAGTTATTCAATGGTGCACAAGGAAAACACAGACAGACCACCTTTTATCAAATTGCAATCAGTGCTTTCTAACAGTAGGGCTTCAGCACTGAACCCAAAAGTGGAAATAAAAAATAAGCCCACTATGTATAACAGGTGCCTGGGGCTCTACCAAAGATGGAGCAAACTCCTAAGTGGGAAACAGGAGTGGAGGATAACTGCAGAGCTGCCTTAATTTGGTTAGTTTTTCAGAAATAATCATGAGCTAAATAACAGCAGCAATCAAGAATGTATTTTTTCCGGAAAAAATGTAAACACTCAGGTAAACACTGAATAAGCTCCCACCAATAGGTTTTTGCTGTTATTATTTTGTTGTTGCTTTTTCAGGTAGGTTGTTTTCCCCTTATAAAAAAAAGTATACAAGTATACCAAAGAAAGGGCTGGAAGACACGGAAAAGTATAGAGAGATAATAATTCCTCCAGTCAAAAAAATACGTATTTTTGTACATCTTGTTTCAGACTGTTTTCTATTATATAATTTTTTCTTTTCAGAAAATTGACACCACATTGAATGTGTAGTTGCATAACTTGATTTTATCATTTAATATTAGGAGCATTTTCCCATGTACTTTTTTTTAATTAGTAAACTTTTTTTTATTCTAAAGAGGCAGAGCCTCACCATATTGCCCTGGCTGGTCTCAAACCCCTAGGCTCAAGCAATCCTCCCATCTTAGCCCCCTAAGTAGCTGGGACTAGAGACATGTGCCACCAGACATAGCTTTTCTAGGACAGAATAGTATTCTACCATGTGGAGATGCAAGATTTCACCACTCTCCTCTAATTAAGCAGGTTTTAGGAATATTTTGCAGCACAGAATAGATAAGTGTTACTGAAAGCTCTCATTTACAACTATCTAAATGTATCCTTCAGATAAATTCTTTTTTTTTTTTTTTTTGAGTCAGAGTTTCCCTCTTGTTGCCCAGGCTGGAGTGCAATGGCACAATGTTGGCTTACCGCAACCTATGCCTCCCCGGTTCAAGCGATTCTCCTGCCTCAACCTCCCAAGTAGCTGGGATTCCAAACATGTGCCATCACACCTGGCTAATCTGGTATTTTTAGTAGGGATGGGATTTTTACATGTTGGCCAGGCTGGTCTCAAACTCCTGACCTCAGGTGATCCGCCCACCTTGGCCTCCCAAAATTTTGGGACTAGAAGTGTGAGTCACCGTGCCAGGCCCACATAAATTCTTAAATGAAGAATTACGTCAAAGAATATGAATTTTTTTAGAGCTCTTGATATTTATGCCAAGAAGTTCTCTGTTCAAACTCTTCAGCATTATATGAGGATAACGACATCAACCTTTGGCAGTACTAGATATTTTTACTTTAATCTTCATTAATGTGATAGATTTAAAAGGATATCTCATTTTAATCTGCAGTTTTGATTGGTAATGAAAATGAACATTTTAAAAATGTTCATTTTAATTTCTTATTTATGGCACTGTTTATGCCCTTTATTTTATTAGGATATTGTATTTTTTTTTTAATGATGGGAAGGAGCTCCAACTAAATCAAAGTATATAACAAATATGTGTGTCACATGTTGCTTGCATGTTCCCTCAATTTGAATGAACACACATGGCTCTTGAACTTTTAATTTCCATGGTAATAGCTCCAAATTCTTCTACAGCAGAACCGGCAAAACTTAATCCTCACCAGTACTACTCCTAATACCACCTTTGCATTTCTATACTTAATCAGGGTGCTGTTTTAAGCACCAAACTCAAAGTTACTAACGATTTGCACAATGAGCCTATAATGCTGTGTTTAACCAAGTGGTAGACCGGAAAACACAGAAAGACTTGTAATTGCTTCTTTATCCTCCGTGCTTTGAATCCCTCAAATAATAAGCTGCTTACCATGGTTCTGGGTAAAAAAAAAAAAAAAAAATTGCCTTTGGTCCTCTAAAACATCACCCGTGTTTGGAAGGCAGAGTAACAGAAGACAAAGAGTATGAGCTCTAGAGTGGACAAACCTGGGTTTAGAATTGTAGCTCCATCATGTTCTTGCTGTGTGACCTCAGCCAAGTCATTTTGCCTCTCTAGGCCTCAATTTCCTTATTTATAAAATGAGAAAACTATCTGTTTTAGAGTTATCATGAAGATGATAAAGTATATAATGTTTATAATTAGAAGTCTGGTATGTGGTAGGTGTGTTTCAGAAAATGTGATTTACACCAGGCACTGTGGTTGTTGCCTGCAATCCCAGCTATCAGTAGGCCAAAGTTGGAGGATTGACTGAAACCAAGAGATCGACACCAGACTGGGCAAAACAGCAAGACCCCATCTCTTAACAAAAAAAATGTAAAAATTAGCCAGACAGCCAGGTGCAGTGGCTCATGTCTCTAATCTCAGCACTTCGGGAGGCTGAGGCAGGCAGATCACTTGAGGTCAGGAGTTTGAGACCAGCAGGGCCAACATGACAAAACCCCATCTCTACTAAAAATACAAAAATTAGCTAGGTGTGGTGATGCACAGCTGTAATTCCAGCTACTTGGGAGGCTGAGGCAGGAGAATCACTTGAACCCAGGAGGCAGAGTTTGTAGTGAGCTGAGATTACGCCACTGCACTCCAGCCTGGGTGATGGAGTAAAAAAACAAAAACAAAAACAAACAAACAAAAAATTAGCCAGGCATAGTAGCTCATGCCTGGAGGTTGGGGTGAGAGGCCAGCCAGAGCCCAGGAGTTCGAGGCTACAGGCAGCTATGATCACACCACTGCACTCCAGCCTGGGTGACAAGACCTCATTTCATTTTTTTAAAAAAGTGATTCTTCCCTACTCTGACAGTGCTAAATCAATTACTTATTTAATTCTAATGATCTTATATAAAATGTTGGCCTGAAATAGTCAGCTGTCCCAGCAAAGAATCATCTGGGGTAAAAAAAAAAACATGTAGATCAGCTTTCTGTCAAGTGTAATTTCCACTGCTACAATTATGCAATCATCAACCATCACTGCAAGACAACAAAAACCCCAAAGCTGATGTTACTGAAATTGCTGAATACAATAATTACTACGGTCTCAAAATCATGACCACCAATTCCTTTAGGAAAGCAACAGAAATCTTTGTAATTGTAGGAGCAAAAGGTTGATTAGTTATCCCAGACAGTGGTTTCTACAGCAGAAGGTTTTCGGTCACGGGCCAGAATGGCAGCACACTCAGAAATCTTTCTCAAATTGCTGTTTTCTCACACTCGTACTCTGAAAGGAACAAGGTCAACAAAAGAACTGAAAAGAAAGAAAGGGCATTCTCTTTTGAAATTTAGCCTTCTTAGCACTGATTCCTGGCAAGAGGCTTTACCCTGGCGAAATAATCTCTAGGAGGAAAACACAGTCTATGAAATCTGTCAACATAGCCCCTTTCTACGGAAAAAGTAAGGAACGTGTTTTTCTTGTAAGTGTGGACTCCTTTAGGAAAGGAAAGGCAAATAGCTTGGGCAAATAGCAAGACTAAACACCTATGTTGAGTGCTGTGCTACCTGCTTTAATTATTTTATCCCTCAGATCAAACTATGAGGTAGATATTATCCTTCCTCAAGATATTAGGTAACTTGCTCAAGGTTTTATAGTCATTAAGTGGAAATATTTCCAGTTCCAGGACCCAGATCTGTCCAACTTTGAAACCTTTTTATTTTCAATAAACCTTTATCAAGTCTTAAAACGGTTATGCCAATTCTTCCTTATGAAAAGGAATCCAATTTAAATTCTGATTCCAAAACAAAACAAATAAATAAACCCAACATACTGAGTATTCACCAAAAGAATGATCATTTCTGTCAATTAGCAGATTGCTTTTCTGCCTCCCAATAGTCCTTAAAATGAACTGAGAGACTCATATGAAGTGCCCTTTAAAAAAAAAAAAAAATCTTAAATCTATAAAGAAAATGGTACCTGTTGACAACCACAGAACACTGAAGCAAAAGCAAGTATAAAACAGGTACAGGCTTCTCAACCACTTCGCAGATGTCTGCCAATAATATCCTGATAAAATCCAGGAAGCAGGTCTTGGCTTGACTCCCAGCCTCTTCTCCATGGCCTTCCAGACACGCAGAACCAGTACACTAGAAGGACAGAAAGAGAGGAAATTACATGCCAAGTAATTAATAATTGATTCCTGGAAATGTGGAATGCTAGAGAATGTGACAGATTAGGAAAAAGAAAAATTTCAAGTTTGTCTTTAACAGCTCAACACTGCCTATAAATTTTAAACCTGGACTTTGAGGTAGCTATACTTATCACAATAACAACATAGCGAGGGATATGAAATGAATCCACTAACAAGTGAAACACTTTATATTCCCTTTTTAAAAAAAAACTACCAGTAAATCACCTATGTGGTAGAATGGAAAGAGCACCACCCTGCAAACAAGATCAGAGTTTTATTTGCAGTTCTGCTACTAACAGCTTTGTGACTGATCAAACACACTTTCTTGCCTATGAGAAGAAGAGGTTGCACCCTCAGAGGTAAAGTAACCTGAGGGTTATATGTGGCCCAGTATTTTTTAAATTTCTGAATGCAAATGTCTGTAGGCAGGAAATGTACTCTCCAGTCTGCTACTGTCCCCACCCACCACTATTATCTTAAAAATATATTCAGTTTACACCTCAGTGCTACCCACCCCAATCCCTGCACTCAACAAATATTTATGCCACGCACTATGCTGCCTACTCCACAATCTAGGGGCTGGATGATTTAGGTCTCTTCCAGCAGAAAAACTCATTTGCCATAAATTTCTTCCCTCTTATACAACTTTGGGATATTGTCTAAATTATTATGTAAATATTGGCAACATTATGAGGGTTGACTGAGTTCTGAAGAAGCAATTCAAAAACTTCTGTCCAACTATGTACCTGTCATCTACATCCAGCAAATGACACAGGCTGCCAACCCCTAACTCCTATCCACGGCCAGCCTACAGGGAGATCAGCATTACCTGGGCTGGATACCAATGCCGATAACAGGAAACAGACACAGACATACACACAGCTGCAAAACTGAGGTGCAGCCCAGCCAAACAACTGGGCTGCAAAACTGAGGTGCAGCCCAGTCCTCACAGAGCCATACGCATCTGAAGGACTCTCTCGTTCTCATTCACTTCCATCCATTCCTATTTCTAGTTGTTTTGCAGTTGTATTTCATGGAGCAGGGGGCAGAAAGGAGGTGTGTGGGCCATAGACATGTTCAAGAGATTATGAAATGGAGCCTAAGTTAGAAAGTACATCCAGCAACTTCTCTAGCCTCCCAAGATGGAACAAGTGACTATGCGTGTGTGTGTGTATGTGTGTGTATGAATCTTACCCAATACATTTCTGCCCACCACAAAAGGATTTAAAGCTCAAGGTGACTCAACACCTGTCATCAATAGCCTGACAGGTGGGTGGGTGAAGCAGAAAAGAAATGAATAGCTTTTGAAAAATGGAGTAATAAACACCATTGGACTAACAAGCTGATTAGAAGTGCAATGTCTAGCAAATCCTGCATAAGAGAAAGGCAGTTAGCCGGGCGCGGTGGCTCAAGCCTGTAATCCCAGCACTTTGGGAGGCCGGGGCGGGTGGATCACGAGGTCAAGAGATCGAGACCATCTTGGTCAATATGGTGAAACCCCGTCTCTACTAAAAATACAAAAAATTAGCTGGGCATGGTGGTGCGTGCCTGTAATCCCAGCTACTCAGGAGGCTGAGGCAGGAGAATTGCCTGAACCCAGGAGGCGGAGGTTGCGGTGAGCCGAGATCGCGCCATTGCACTCCAGCCTGGGTAACAAGAGCGAAACTCCGTCTCAAAAAAAAAAAAAAGAGAAAGGCAGTTAATTTCATCTGAACTCCTAACCAGTCATTCCTCTGAAACCTATAATTGCCTAAGGGCACAAATCACTGCTAGGGTCCAGTTAAAGTCTTGCTGACCAAAGGCAGGAACACCACCACATCACCAAGATCCAAATGGTTTGTTATTGAATCAAAGGGTAACAACCCAGGGAGAGAACACACACCCCCACAATACTTGACAAATGAAAATCTAGAAAAGCTCACAATAGTTCTGGCATTTGGGGCGTTACAAGTACACCCAAAATAAAAGCACTCTCTGTTGCAGCAGCTGTTCAGACAGAACAGGGGGTAATGTTTACTTAATACTTCAGGTTGATGGGGGCTGTATCATAGTTCAGTCTGTCAACTACATACGTGGAACTCCATTTATGTACACAGCGATAAGATATGTTTGAACAACGACGGAGCACGTCTGAAACAGCCTATTCAGTTAGTATGAGTAATAGAGAATAAAGCTCTCTTTTAAAAAGTCTCAGATACTTGGGAAAGTAACAGAACAGACTGCCATGAATAGCTTTGCTTATATTTGCGGACACTGTTTTTCAAATAGCTGGAAAAATGAACAGATTGTTCTGGGAGGTCGTCTTTCCAATTTGTTCCTAGTTTTCAGTCTGTTAATCACAGAAGAAAGCACAGGGAGAGTCAGCTAATGCTTGTCACTAACTGCAACTACTGTCGGTTGGACACAACCACTATGAGACCAGAAGCCAAAGCTTTCCTGGAATCCCGCCAGAGGTTATCAATTTGGACTTCCTTCATTTCACCTTTGTGCTGACTGCAGCCACTATAGGACCCTCTGTGGGGCATAATTTTCAAAATCCTAAATGAGGCAGGTTTCACATTATAATGGACACATCGTGCTCAACCCCTTCCCTTTTGATAAATATTATTCGACATCAACCTTCTATCTCGGTAGGGAGACCAAACATCAGAGACAGTCGCTAAAGGCTGGGGTGCAGAGGTCGAAGGTGGAAGCAGGACGGCAGCATCCCGAACCCTGGCCGTCTGCCCGGCTGCCAGGGAACAGAGGGAGCTGCCTGGCTAGGCCCGGGCCCGAGAGAAGCGGGGTTCAGCCTGGGACCCAAGCTGCGCACCTGCAAGGCCAGAAGCAGCTGGCTGCCCTGGCAGAGCCTGGGACGCCACCTCCGGACCCAACATCCGGCCAGCGCACCCGCTGGCATCGCCCGTCCCGCTTGCCCCTCCCCAGAGCCCAAGGTCCTCGGCCTGGCAGCCAGCCGCCCCCGGCCACCTACCGGGGCTCAGGGCCACATACCGGGGCCCCGGCTCTCGGCGGCCTCCGCCTCCTCCTGGTCCATGGGCTCGGGGACCCCAACCTTCGTTCCCCTCACCCGAAGGAGGAAGAGGAAGACGGTAGTGCGGGCTCCCCACCCGGACAGCTACCTCTCGCCTCAGCCTCCCTGGACAGCGACGGCGGCCGGAAACGCCGCCTCCTCCCACCTCCCAGGGACCGACCCGGAAACACACTCTCCATGCTAACCAAGCCCTCCCGCCCCTCCCCCGGGAAGCGCAATGCCGGCCACGAGCCCAAGGGGGGATGTGGGGCAGTGCTCCGGCGGGTAGAACTACGCACAAGCGAAGGAATCTGGGCCCCCAGCCTCTCGCCGCCCGCTCTCCAGAGGCAGTCTGCACCTTGCCTCCTTCGCGTGAGCCTCAGGCCCCAGACGCGGGCAATACCCACAAGCAAGATGGCGGCAACGGCGGCACCCCCTACGGCTTAGCGCCCTGACTTGCCATTGGCCAGAGCCCCGAGTGAAGCAGCCGTGGATTGGTCGAGAGCGGTGCGGGGGTGGGGGTGGAGCTGCAGCAGGCTGGAGCCAGGAGTGGGCAACGCGGCGTGAGCAGCGGCCCGAGGCTCCCGGAGCATCGCGCTGGTAGAAGACTTCGCCGCTCGGGGCCGCAGCCTGGTGAGCTCAGCCCCCTTCAGGCCCTCCCCTGCATCCCAGCCGGGGCCTCTCCGAGCCGGCGCTGATCGATGCCGACACACCCCGGGGACCCTATCGCGACTCCATCGCACCATATCGCGACACCATCGTGCCCTGTCGAGACTCCATTTTGTCACAGCCCTTTTCAATATATATCTTTTTTTAAAATTTGCCCTGTCATCTTTGGGGGCTGTCTCCCATGTCGTGATTTTGACGTGATCTCTCCGTGACATCACCGCGCCATCGTGAAGTGTGATCTCATCGCCGCCCTGTCGTGACTTCATCAATGTCGTGTTGTGACCTGGCGGCGGCGGGACAGGTGGTGACCGCCAGGAACCCTCCTCCCCTTCTCATCTCCCCATCTCAGCAGCCCTGCTTCGATTATCCGGCTTTTGGATTCTTCGTTGTCCTGGAAACTATCCGGGACCCCCTCTTGCTTCTCCAGCCCCTGCCGGCATCCACAGGCTGGTAGCGGGACGGGGAGGGCGAGAAGAGGGAGCGCAAGGGGTTAATTCTGCTGCTGCCGCTGCTGCCGCTGCTGCTGCAGCCTCTACCCGAGGGAGGGAAAGGAGAGGAGGCAAGGAGCCTGCGGGGGCGACTGAGAGCCCTGGCTGGAGGGGTGGGGTCCCCAGAGGGGCCTCCAAACCTTCCTTGGTGAGCACCTTGTATTCTCACTTCTCCTGAAGCTTATCTCTGCCTCTGAAGAAGAGAGGGGGAAAGGAAGCCTAGGGTGTCCTTTTCTCCCATGTCAGCCTGAGTCCGGATAATCGAACTTCACCCATGTATGTCTCCATTCCTCCCTGTCTGTCCTCACCACTCACTTCCTCTGTGTCCCTGTGGAGGGAGATAAAAGCCAGCCTCTGGTGCCAGGGGGACAGCTGAGCAGTGGGGCCAGCCCCCGCCCACCCCCAGGAGACTGGTGAGGAAAGCTGTCCAGCTGAGCAGCAGCATGCATGGTCCTTCTTTCCCGCTTTCTGGAGGTGACCTTGGACCAGGGTCCCTTCTTCATCCCTAAGGATTTGCAGATCCAGCCCCTTAAAGGGACTTCCCCAGGGGAGGTCAGTCCCGAGGAGCCCACCCCTCCAGATCCTCTGCTCCCCTCCCTGTGTGCTAATCCCTCCCTTCCTCCATCCTCCACTCTCACCCCCACCCCACCCCCGTCCCTCCTCTGCAGAGGGATGCTCAGTCCCTCTTGTGTTCACAGTTGGGCAAGGCGGGCATCATGGCCTCGGATTGCGAGCCAGCTCTGAACCAGGCAGAGGGCCGAAACCCCACCCTGGAGCGCTACCTGGGAGCCCTCCGTGAGGCCAAGAATGACAGCGAGCAGTTTGCAGCCCTGCTGCTAGTAAGGAACTGGCTGAGAATTGGGAGGTGGGAAGGGCTGGGTGGTTGGGCCTCCAAGGAATGGGGTCAGTGAGTCCCCAAGGATACGTTGGTAGTGCCAGCAAGCGTGTTGGCACCAAAGAAGACCAAGACCCCTACCTTTGTGCTCTTTTTTGCTCCCCTGAGAATGGGGGCAAAGGGGAGAGTGGGACTGAATAAGGCTGTGGCACTAGGGGCCTTGGAGGAGGCTGCCTGGGTCTGTTTTCTGGGGCGTCCCAGAGCAGATGGGAGCTGACTCATAGGGTAACAGCAGCAGGTAGTAACTAGTGCAGAGTACTTGAGGGCTGGGGATGATTGTTCCGGGCCTGAAGAGAGTAGCAGGGCTGGAAGAGGCTGGGGAAGGGTCCTGGGGAGGGTCAGGATGGCAGTAGGTAGGTTAAGGGAAGGGAGCTGGTTTGGGGCTTAGCCTCGTTGGAAGAACCCAAGCTGGGGACAGCAGAGCAGGAGCTGCAGTGCTAGGAAGGGGGGGTTGGTGTGTGGGGGGTGAAGGGAGGAGGGAGTACAGCCGCTGCTTGTTTGCCATGGCAACAAGGAGAAGGCTCTGGAGTCAAGGGCTCACACTGCAGCAGAGGAGGTGTTTAGGTGAAATGTAAGGGGAAATGTTTTGACAGGCAGAGCGGCGAGACACAGGAGCCATTTCCCCTGAGAAGGTGGCAGAAATGGATCAGGGACTTCTCTGGAGGGAGCAATTAAGGAAGGACCCTAAATCCTTGGGGGATCTCAAACACTGAGTTCTAAGCCCCTTCCATCCCAGGTTGCGGGCATTTAGACATCAGGAAGAACTTTTCATCAGGCCAGGTGTTGAAATGCTCAAATGAATGGTTGAGGAAGACCAGACCTCACTTCCATGAGATAGTCACAGATGAGAGGGATCCCAGAGGTCACACTTATCTGTGTCTAAGGAGAAAAAGGGAGCTGGATGAAATGACCCCAGATGAGTCCTGTTGCATAACCTCATCCTGCTAGTCCTCAGTGCCCCAGGGTGCAGGAAAGGGACAGTCTTTGCCACTTCTTCCTTTCATCCTGATGATAGCACGTACCCCTTATAGGTGACCAAGGCAGTGAAAGCAGGTGACATAGATGCCAAAACTCGGCGGCGGATCTTCGATGCTGTCGGTTTCACCTTCCCCAATCGTCTCCTGACCACCAAGGAGGCACCAGATGGCTGCCCTGACCATGTCCTCCGGGCTTTAGGCGTGGCCCTGCTGGCCTGCTTCTGCAGTGACCCCGAACTGGCCGTCCATCCCCAAGTCCTGAACAAGATTCCCATTCTTAGCACCTTCCTCACAGCCCGAGGGGACCCGGACGATGCTGCCCGCCGTTCCATGATTGACGACACCTACCAGTGCCTGACAGCGGTAGCAGGCACACCCAGAGGGCCTCGGCACCTCATTGCTGGTGGCACCGTGTCTGCCCTATGCCAGGCATACCTGGGGCATGGCTATGGCTTTGACCAGGCCCTGGCACTCCTGGTGGGGCTCCTGGCTGCTGCCGAGACACAGTGCTGGAAGGAGGCAGAGCCCGACCTGCTGGCCGTGTTGCGGGGCCTCAGTGAGGATTTCCAGAAAGCTGAGGATGCCAGCAAGTTTGAGCTCTGCCAGCTGCTGCCCCTCTTTTTGCCCCCGACAACTGTGCCCCCTGAATGCTACCGGGATCTGCAGGCTGGGCTGGCACGCATCCTGGGAAGCAAGCTGAGCTCCTGGCAGCGCAACCCTGCACTGAAGCTGGCAGCCCGCCTGGCACACGCCTGCGGCTCCGACTGGATCCCGGCGGGCAGCTCTGGGAGCAAGTTCCTGGCCCTGCTGGTGAATCTGGCGTGCGTGGAAGTGCGGCTGGCACTGGAGGAGACGGGCACAGAGGTGAAAGAGGATGTGGTGACCGCTTGCTATGCCCTCATGGAGTTGGGGATCCAGGAATGCACTCGCTGTGAGCAGTCACTGCTCAAGGAGCCACAGAAGGTGCAACTTGTGAGCGTCATGAAGGAGGCCATAGGGGCTGTCATCCACTACCTGCTACAGGTGAGTGTGCAGTGACCCACAGAGAGGGCCCAGCATGGGGGGAGCCAGTGCTGGGGCTGGGAGGCAAGTGGGAGGGGAACCATGGGGAGACAGTGAAGCTGCATGTCCACACAAGCTGATACTGTAGCCAGCACTCCAGGGAGTAGCGTGCGGCCCAACCTCCCTCTCTCTCCCTCCCTCCACACAAGCACCATACCACACACCATATGTGCACTCACATCACAGTACACACACACAACACAGTAACCTCCCACTCAAACGCTCCCCCCAGTACACATACACTACACGCCACACACCTCTCCCCAACACATGCACACAAAATTGAAGCAGCCTGTTCTGCTCACTCCACAGCATTATTTTGTATGCGCATACACCCAAACTTCTAGTGGCGCAAGGAAGAGAAGCAGAGCTGCCTGGTTCCAGGCCTCTGGAGAGGTCCAGCTAGATCAGTTTGTCTGCCTCCCCTCTATCCCCTCCTGCCTTCCCACCTGAAAGGCCAGCTGTCCTGTCCGACAGGGATTCAGTCGCAACTCTGGTCTCTTTAATGGCCTGCTCCAGCTGCTGAGCTCACCAGCCGTATATTCCTTGCACTGTGCTAAGCTCATGTCTTTTTTCTGATTTAGCCCAAAAGAGAGCATCCCCTCATGTACACGGTAGCCAGGAACCTGCCCTCCCGCCCCAGGTCAGAGCTGCTGTAAAGGGCATGCGACTTAGCTTTTGACCTGTGAATTTCCTTCTAGCCTTGAGACACTTTAGAGTTAGGGAGATAGGGAGATGTAACTGGAGCCTCAGCGAGTACAGGGGGATGTCACTCAGTTCACTCAGGCCCAGTCCACTTAGCTGACGTGCATGGAGGGCCCCACTCACTCTGCGCCAGGCCCTCATAATTGTCCCTACCATGTGTTGGGTGCTGGCTTCATGGGACAGAATAAGGGTTGGGGCCTGCCTTTGAAAGGCTCACAGGCCAGAATTCCCTTCTAGTTGTATTATTTCTAGCTGGCTGGCCTCTGGCGAGGCAGGGGAGGGTCTCTGGTCCTGCTCCATCTCAAGGGGGTTCTGTGGCAACAGGTGGGGTCAGAGAAGCAGAAGGAGCCCTTTGTGTTTGCCTCCGTGCGGATCCTGGGTGCCTGGCTGGCCGAGGAGACCTCATCCTTGCGTAAGGAGGTGTGCCAGCTGCTGCCCTTCCTCGTCCGCTATGCCAAGACCCTCTACGAGGAGGCCGAGGAGGCCAATGACCTTACCCAGCAGGTGGCCAACCTGGCCATCTCCCCCACCACCCCAGGGCCCACCTGGCCAGGAGATGCTCTCCGGTGAGTCTGTAATTATAGTCTGTCCAGCTAGATCATTCTACAGAAAAGCGTAACACAAGGACATCCCTCCCTACAAACTGGGCTGTGCCAGGCTTCCTGATTGGGCCATGAGATTTCCCTTAGGGTTATTTCTGTTTGTTTTGGGGGGCTTGTTCCCACAGGACTCCTCGGCTGCCAAGTGTCACTTGCCAACCCCAGATTTCTCAGTTAAAAGCGAACTTATACTTATTGAGCACCTACTGCGAGCCAGGTATTTTGCTATACCCTTTACCAAAACGATCTCATTTGGTCCACGTGGTAAATCTAACATAAGTCTTGTTCACATATGAAAGATGAGGAAACTGAGGCTCATAGAGATTAAAGTCATTTGCCCATAGTCACACCTTGTGGCAGAGCCCAAGTTTGGTCCTGGGTTGTGCGACTCCGAAGCTTGTACTTTTTCTGTAGTACCTGTGAGGATGTGTCCTTCTCCCCTACTTCCATTTCTCTGAGGCAAGGTGCCCTAAAAAGGGAATCTGTGTGCCTTCATCTCTCCCAACCCCACCCACATCTGTCCCTTCCACATCCCTAGGCTCCTCCTGCCCGGCTGGTGCCACCTGACCGTGGAAGATGGGCCCCGGGAGATCCTGATCAAGGAAGGGGCCCCCTCGCTTCTGTGCAAGTATTTCCTGCAGCAGTGGGAGCTCACATCCCCGGGCCACGACACCTCAGTGCTGCCTGACAGCGTGGAGATTGGCCTGCAGACCTGCTGCCACATCTTCCTCAACCTTGTGGTCACCGCACCAGGGCTGATCAAGTGAGGGGCTCGGGAGAGATGGTGGGGGAGGAGGCCGGAGGAGGCAAAGGGGGCTGCCCAGTTGCCTCAATTCCCAGTCTCCTACTTTGCCCTCCATGTCTATGGATTTCTGTTAGTGGTAGCATGGGGGTCTCAGAGTAGATACAACTAGCTCCACATGAGGATTTGGCATATCTGGAACCCCCAGGTACTCTCAGCATGTCTACCTGCTCCAATCTCTGCCCCTCAGTTGCTATGTTTGGGGCCCAAAGTTAATTCTTCACCCTGCTGCCTAATTTCTTGCCAGGGGCTTGATTTGGCTCTGCTAGACCCCCACCTACCTTCATCCTTCCTCTTTCTTCTCCAGGCGTGACGCCTGCTTCACATCTCTTATGAACACCCTGATGACGTCGCTACCCGCACTAGTGCAGCAACAGGGAAGGCTGCTTCTGGCTGCTAACGTGGCCACCCTGGGCCTCCTCATGGCCCGGCTCCTTAGCACCTCTCCAGGTAAGACCTGGGTACCCAGTCCTAACGGGTGAGGGCAGAACACCTGGGTGGACCTCCTGTGTTTGGGGCAAAAGTCACCATTTCCAGAAGATGGTTTTGCAGAATTTTCTAATCATGAGGAAATCTTTGCAGTGTATCTCCATCCCCCACCCCCACCTTTCTTCCCAAAATGCTAACATTCTCTTTCTTCTAAAGACTTTTAAGGCAAGGTCTGGTGGGTGTTAAGCACAGGCCTGCTCACAGGCACAGGCATAGGCACCTGGAATCCCTGGCAGCCTCAGGAATCTGAATCCAGTGTTTTCAAGGTGGAGCCGCCCCCACCCAGGCCTTGAGTCAGAAACCTGACTTCCTTCCATTGATGTTTTTCTGTGCTCTGCTCGGCACCCCACCCCCGTCAGTGACAGGCTTCAGCACTTGGTGTCCTTTTATGCACACCTTCTCCCTAGCTCTGCCTCACTCTGGCTGTTTGCAGGGGAAGGGACTTCCCCTCCAGCCCCGGCAGCCCTGTGTGTCTCCCACTTTGGCTGTGGGTGTCTGCTTGGGTCCCTCTGTCCCTGCCTGTTCCTTGTGCCCCATCTGTCAGGTTGTAGGAGCTGAGCAGATGCCTGGGAACAGGGCGTAACGTACCCGTACCCTCCACTGCCTCTGTGTTCCTTGTGTGGGGATCCCAGCGGGGTCCCCAGCCATGGGAAGGGGCACTCGTCCCTGTGCACCAGGAGCCCACTCTGCACTCAGTCCCGGGCTGCATCTCCACAGCCCCCAGTGTCACGGTCCCAGTTCTGGCTCACCCACAAATACCACCAGGTTAGGCTGTCAGCCTCCTGGAGAGCACCTGCAGTGTGAGGGTCACCCCCTGTGCGGCGGGTAAGCAAAGCCGGGCCACTTACTCATGTTCCTCTCTGGCGCCCTCTTCTGGCCCAAGGATCAAACTGATGCAGCCCCCTTGGCTTGTGTTGGACCTGTTTGTGCAGAACCCTGAGGTTCTCACATCTGACTCTGGCTCACCCCCACCTCCTGTGCCAGTAGAGGTCTTGGTGCTTGAGTCTACCAAGATGATCACATTTAATTCTCACAAGAAATTTCTAAGATGAGCACTATTGGCCCCATTTTACGAGTGGAGGAACAGACTCAGAAAGGTTAATTACCTAAGGTCACACAGTAAGCATTAGAGGTAGGGTTTGAACACATGCAGTATGATTCCAGGCTGTGCCCTGGCTCCTGTGTGTGTCCACACAGAGGGCTAGGGAAGGGTCGAGCACAGCAGCTGGCCTGTCTGGTTCATGCCCCGTTCCCTCCATGCCTTACAGCTCTTCAGGGAACACCAGCATCTCGAGGGTTCTTCGCAGCCGCCATCCTCTTCCTATCGCAATCCCATGTGGCACGGGCCACCCCGGGCTCAGACCAGGCAGTGCTAGCCCTGTCCCCTGAGTACGAGGGCATCTGGGCCGACCTGCAGGAACTCTGGTTCCTGGGCATGCAGGCCTTCACTGGCTGTGTGCCGCTGCTGCCCTGGCTGGCCCCCGCTGCCCTGCGCTCCCGCTGGCCGCAGGAGCTGCTCCAGCTGCTAGGCAGCGTCAGCCCCAACTCTGTCAAGCCCGAAATGGTGGCCGCCTATCAGGGTGTCCTGGTGGAGTTGGCGCGGGCCAATCGGCTGTGCCGGGAGGCCATGAGGCTGCAGGCGGGCGAGGAGACGGCCAGCCACTACCGCATGGCCGCCTTGGAGCAGTGCCTGTCAGAGCCCTGAGGGGTGTCCACCGGGGACAGACCCGAGGGCGGGCAGCGAGGGAAGGAGGGAGGAGGCATCTTCCCTGAAGCCCCCAAACTAGAACCCCTCCCCAGACTTCCCCCCCAAAACACCCCAGCTTTCTGGCTTTTCTGAGGGCAAGGGCATGGTGCCCACCCCTCAAGTGTAAGGAACTGCGTTCCGCCCCTCAGGCCCCCACGGGGGCAGGGATCGGCTTGGAAATCAACGTGGTTGTCCCCGCCAGGCCGGGGAAGGTTGGAGCAGCCCCCAGGGAGGGGGGCACTAGGTATCATTGTGCCCGATGTCTGGCTCCCCCACAGAAGGGAGGCTCCAAGGTAGGACAGGGCTGGCAGGAGCAGACTGCCTCAGCCCATGTGCCCTGCCGGCCAGGGCGTGGGCTCCCCTTGGCTGTGGTGCCTCCTCTGGCCCCCCAGGTCCACGTCCTTTAAAATTGGCCCTCTGGCTCTTGCCCTTGGCTCCCTTGGGCAGAGAGCAGGCTTAGGCCATTGACATCGCAGTTCTTCCTATCAACTTAAGTGACCCAGGGTCTGAACTGCCCCCATCCTAGGGCAACCTGGGGCAAACAGGCCTGGTGGGCGGTGGGGAAACCTCCTTCCACCTGAGCTTGCTTGAAGGGATCCAGAAGTCCCTGGGCCCAGATCTTTAAACCTTTGTGTCATGTTGCAGCAGAGTGATGATGGGGGTTAGGGGGTTATTTCTTTTGCCTGTCCTCCTTATCCCTGCTTGGACACCTGAGCATCTGATTCCTGTCCCCTTGGTGCCATCTGGCCTGGCTGGAGCCAGGAACAGGAGGGACACTTCCCCAGAATCCGCATGTTTCCCCAGTGATTGCACCCCACTGCCATCGTGGTGCCTGGCTTTAACTCCCATCCCTGCTATGACTCCTCTCTGCAGAGAGACGCGACTGGCGGCTCCAGCAGGGACTACCTTTCTTATGAATCCAGGGGGACCCCCACGCACATACCTGATCCCTTGCTTCCCTGCCCCCTGCCCTCCCCCAGTGCGTTCTGTGATCACCAAGTTCAAAGCTGTGCACATGTGGACACTCAATAAATGTTCATTGGTGACGAGAAGCCTCCTGCGTGGTCTACCCTGCACCTGCTCTCTCTCTCCTCCAGGCTCCATCAGTTGACAGCACAGCTGCCAGGTACTGAACACACGCCCTGCTAAACACATCACAAGTCTTACCTCATTCAGCCCTTCCAAGAATCCTCTGAAGGGTTCTGATTTTCCAAAGCAACTTCGGCATGGATAAGTGCTTTGCTGAAGGTGTTGCAGCTAGTTGGTGCCAGAGCCAGGACTGACGCAGGCCGTCCGACGCCCCAGCCCACAGCTTTCACTTGTACGGCAGGTTGCCGAACTCATGTTGACAGGGTCGGGCCTCGTGGGGGCTCTGGTGCTGTTAAGTACAGACGAAGCCCTGCACCCTCCTCTATGTTATTGGGTTGCTGCCAAGTAGCACTGCCATATCCAGTTGTTAAGTCAGGAATCCTGATTTTTATGTGAAACCCAACTTCTGAATGTCAGTAACAATCTTTAATTAAGTAACTACTGACCCAATGAAACATGCAGGCCAAATGTAGCTTTCAGGTTACCAGCTGCTGATCTATGCTAAGTGAGAAGGCAGAGGGCCTCAGAGCTTCAGCAGGAGATGAGCCAAGCACCCACTGCCTCACCAGTCCTGAGCCAAGGCTGTGAGGTTGGAACCAGATGGGCCCCAGGCCCTCTGCAAACTCCTCTACCTAGGCCTTCAAACCTATAAGCATGTGCTGAGCATATCCTATGTGCTTACCTGTGGTTGGCTATGCATAGAGAAGAATATTTATTTACTGGATGTACTGAAAGCCATCTTCTTAGTATGGATTCTCTGGGGTAAATATGAAAAGACATAGAGGCTGGGTGTGGTGGCTAATGCCTATAATCCCAATACTTTGGGAAGCTGAGGTGGAAGGATCACTGACCAAGATCAGCCTGGGCAACACAGTGAGACCCCCATCTCTACAAAACAAAAACAATCAGCTGAGCATGCTGCCTCATGCCTATAGTCCCTGCCACTCCAGAGACTGAGGCCAGAAGATCTCTTGAGTCCAGGGGTTTGAGGTTATATTGAGCTTTGATCACACCACTGCATTCCAGCCTCGAAGATAGGGTGGTATCCTGTCTCGGGGGCGGGGGCGGGGAGGGAAGGTGTAAGCAGTGGCTTCTACGTAGGTCCAAACACAGCGTGCCTGGAGCATGAGAGCATGATGGGCAGAACATTTACAGGAAAACTTACAGCAAGTATGTGCTCTGAGACTTCAGGGTGAGTAAGGGCTTGCCAGGCAGACACGAAAAGGAACAGCAGGTATGAAGGCATGCAAGCTTGAGAACTGCCAGTAGTTTCTCATTCCACAGTGTATAGCGTATGACGTAGGGAGTGGTAGAAGATGAGGATGAACCAGCAGGCGTGGACCAGATCCCACTGTGCTGTGCTCAGAAGCTTACACATGGAATCATGCTGAGGCAGCTTGGTTTTGGTTTCGGTTTTTTAATAGAAACAGGGTCTTACTCTGCCTCCCACCCTGATCTCAAAACGTGGCCACAAGCAATCCTCCTCCCTCAGCCTCCCAAAGTGCGAGATTGTAGGCATGAGCCACCATGCCCGGCCAGACTGCCGATGTTTTAGCAGATTGAATGTGATCCCGTTTGCATTTTGGGAAGATGTTGCACTGCGAGAGGAATGGCTGAGCCAGGGAGCTGAAAGGGGAGGTGCTAAGTCCAAACTAAGCCAATGGCAATGAGGATGGAGAAGATATAGGTAGTAGTTAATAGGACTTGGTGATTAATTGGAAGTGAAGAGGGATAAAGAAAAGGGTGGGTAGAACCAAGGATGACTCCCAGATTCTTGATGTGGGAGCCACTGAGTGGATAGTGGGGCATTCACTGTCACTGGGAACACTGGAACAGACAGATTTGTGCATACCATACACAACTCAGCTGGGGAAATGGTGAATTTGCGCTGCTCATGGAATAGCCAAGGGGTAGTTGCTTTTTATGGTCTGGAGCTCAGAGAGAGTCTGGGCTAGTGACAGATTTGGGAATTGTCAGTAGAGAGGGTCCCTAAAGTCATAGGAGGGACTGAGATCATCTGGGGATGTGAAAAGAGAAGGGAAAGGCCCCAAAGAAAGTGACAGCCACCCATGGTCCCTGTTGTCAAGGTGCTCTCCCTCCCATAGTGGAGAAGGCAAACCCTGCAAAGTTTCCTAACACAAGGCAGACAGAATTCTGTGCTTAAATGAGATATGGTCGGAGAGTTCTGGCTTACTCTTGGTATTTCAGTGGAGTGGGGAAAAGGGAGATCTGAGCTGCAGTTGTGAGATATAACCACGAGATGGCGCCTTGGCACCTCCTTGTGCCAGATTTCCCCACCCTGCAAACAGCCTGACCTGGAGCAAGAGGTGGTCAAAGGCTGGGAGAACAAGGGTGGCTGTCTCAACAACAATAAAGGAGGCAGATCGGAGTTTTTTCTTAACATAAAATCCAAATGCAAGGTCACTTTTTGAAAAGAGAGGGAGCCTGGGAGAAGAGCAATATGCCAAGTATGACAAATGGGAGTCCACGTATGTTTGAGCATGCACCCCTATGTTCCTATGGGTACTTGTCAATATGTGTCCTCTGCCTCTATGTGTACTTCTGTTTCCCATGAATGTCTCTGTGCATGTTGTATGCTCCGTGTTCCCAAGGCCGTCTGCATGTGTACCCCAATGCACCCCAGGGCCTCCACATGTGTGCATGTGTCCCAGGGAGCAGACAACCAGAAATCTCTACCTCCGTGCCTCAGAAAGTGAGGAGTCCCTTGGCGCTGAAAGAAGTGGTCCACAGAGTCTGAAACCAAGGGACTCTGATGTTTTAGGGAGCCTCAAAGCAGCAGCAGACCATGAAGAGTATCCCTCTCCCCAGTAGCCATAATCATAATCATTCATTTATCAGATGATCTCTTCAGATTACACCCAGGTTCTGTGTGTAGCTACCCAGGGTCATGTTCACATAGAGCCTTCCGAAAGGATCACTTAAGAGGCCAATGGATTCACAACATCATCTATTGATTTACCACTTACAGTATTTAATAAGCATTCATTGATTACCTGTCATGTACCGAGCACAGTGCTAGACACATTTTCTGTTTCTCTTTTAATCTTGTGAAGCAGTTCCTGAAAGAGGAAAAGAACATTGGTCGCAACTGCAGAGTCTGGAATGCTCATTAGAATGTTTGGACTTTTTTTTTTTTTCCTGAAGATGGGTCATGGTGAGGCCTAGGAAAGTTTTCAGTAGGGAGGTAACATGATCCTGTCCCTCTTATTGCTGAATGGAATTGGAAATGGATCAGAACAGGTATGAATAAAGTAAGGAGACCAGTTAGAGAGTTGTTGCAATACCTAGATAGTGGTCCTTAAACCTTAGTGTGCCTCTGAGCCACCTTAAGGACTTGTTAATAACAGAGGTTGCTGGGCTCCACCCCCAGAGTTACTGACTCAGGAGGTCATGAGTGGGGTCCAAGAATTGGGACTTCCAGCAAGCTCCCAGATATTGTTGGTGATGCTGGTCCAGGAACCACACTTTGGCTATGTTGCCTAGGCTGGTCTCAAACTCCTGGGCTCAAGGGACCATTTGAGAGCCATTAATCTAAGAGTAAGGGTAAGGTAGTTTAAGGTGCTGGGACAGGGGTACCATGTGCCCTCTGGGATACCCGCTTCAATTCTCCACTACATATCTTCTGAGGGTGTATGTTTAAGGGTTAGAAATGGCAACACTCCATAAGGATTAGCTTGTGAGGGTTAAGGAAAGGAGCCAGACTCTTCTGGGATGACTAGCAAGTTTTGAACTTATTACATTATCCATTTGAAGGATGGTGGTGTCATTTATGAAACTACAGAGCATAGGAGAAGCAAGTTGGGGTTGGTGATTGGGATGGAGGAAATGCTGAATTCAGTGATGGACGTGGAAAATTTCAGAGAGCTGCAATGAGATGTCTGGAGAAAATACACAACTGGCAGCTGTGTCTATGGGTTTGGATCTCTCACTAGAGATCCAGGCCAGAGATAAGACAGTTGGGAGATAACAGCAGACAGCTAGTCATTAAAGACTTGGGCGAGGCGTGGTGGCTCATGCCTGTAATCCCAGCACTTTGGAAGGCTGAGGCAGGCGATCACTTGAGGTCAGGAGTTCGAGACCAGCCTGGTCAACATGGTGAAACCCCCGTCTCTACTAAAAATACAAAAATTAGCTGGGTGTGGTGGTGTGCACATGTAATCCCAGTTAATCAGAAAACTGAGGCATGAGAATTGCTTGAACCCGGGAGGTGGATGCTGCAGTGAGCCAAGATCACTCCATTGCACTCCAGCCCAGGCAACAGAGTGACACTGTATCAAAAAAAAAAAAAAAAAGACAAGAGGGGATGAGCTCACTCATAAAGAGTGTAGATAGGAAGAAAAAGCAGAAGCTTCTCTGCTCTGAGAAAGAATTACTGACATTAAGCATGTAGGTGAAAAGAGAGACAGAAAAGAAGAGAAATGATCAGTAGGAGAATGAGGCAAGAAGGGGCTATCACAAGCTGTAGGAAGTAGAGTGGGGAAACCCAATGAAGCCATAGACAGGCAGCGCATCCTGTCACTCTGGCCTTCCCAAGCTGCTGGAGAGAGCAGGGGCATGGGCATCATCTCCTTCACTGCTCCTAGACTTCTCCCAAAGGAGTCCACCAGCTTCTATTCATGCACTGACACCTGTCCTGGAGCTTGACTTCTGATGTCCTATGGCTGAGGTTGAGGGTGGGAGGAAGAGGTGTTGCCACACACTCCCTCATATATAGATACACACAAACATACTCCTGATCTCTGACCTGTCTTGAGCAGGAAGGTTGCAGAGAGCTTCCAAATTCTGCTTCATCCACCATCCTCACTGGCAGTTCCAGACTTCGGAAAGTTCTTTTTTTTTTTTTTTTTTTTTTGAGACGGAGTTTCGCTCTTGTGACCCACACTGGAGTGCAATGGCGCGATCTCGGCTCACCGCAACCTCCGCTTCCTGGGTTCAGGCAATTCTCCTGCCTCAGCCTCCCCAGCAGCTGGGATTACAGGCACGCGCCACCATGCCCAGCTAATTTTTTGTATTTTTAGTAGAGACGGGGTTTCACCATGTTGACCAGGATGGTCTCGATCTCTTGACCTCGTGATCCACCCGCCTCGGCCTCCCAAAGTGCTGGGATTACAGGCTTGAGCCACTGCGCCCGGCCCTCCGGAAAGTTCTTAATGATGAATCTTTGGCTTCTAGCCTCCTTCTTTCCCCATCGCTCCCCTGGCTGAGATCATCCAGCCCTGAGCTCTGGACCTGTCATGCATCTTCTGGGATACCCACTTGGGATCATACATTCCATGAGTTAATGGTGTCACTATCACCTCCTCTTCTATATCAATAATTTTACCTTAATCTCATTTACTACTTTACTAGAAAGGAACCTAAAAAAACAACTAGTCCTCTCTGCCTTCCTCTACTTTTTTATTGGTGTTTTGGAAGTTGCAGAAACTGAGATCACAGAGGAAACGGGACGTAGCTAGGATCACACAGTCAATCGGAGTCAGAACTAAATCTAAGCCCCTGAGTCTGAGGCAGTAGAGAATAGCGATTCTGAGCAGAGAGGGGCCAGGGGCTGATTACCCCAGCTCTACCACTTAACTTAGCTGCTTGACCTTGGGCAAGCCATTTAACCTCACCCCTCCCCTGAAAATGGGGATGATATGGGTATCTCTCTCATAGAGCTGCTGTGAGGGTTAAATAATCCAATATTCGTGAAGCACTTTGCACAGAGGCTGGCACACTCTGTAATAAGTCTGCTGTGATTATTTCTACTTTGCCCTGGTCTACACATCTTCTTGCTTTCAGAAACATCTTTCTTCTTTCTTAATTCCCATTCTCCTTAGCATTCCCTTCTCATTTGTCCATCTTTAATCACTGTCTCTGCTTCTCAGGAGGGGAAGGTTGGGTTTGGGCAGAAAAAAAAGAGAGTGACTATAGAGACTGGAACTTGCCTGACAGCCAGAGAGTGCCTGCCATGGTAACACACAAACATGTAGCCTGTGCATGTTAGCGTAACAATCACACGGCACCCCCGTGAGTCAGTTACACACAGTCACTCAACAGTCTCTGGGTATCTCAAGCCCGCATTCAATCAGCCCAGGCCCCTGTGGCTTCAGAAACATCTTGGCCACTGATCAGGTGGAGCTCATACTCAAAACCCATCCCAGGCAACTTTGGCCAGCTTGTGTGTTCAACTGTCTCAGAGCCTGGCTTGGCATTGGAAGTTTTCAGCCCAGGAAGCCTGAGTGAAGTGGGCACCTTAGAGGGATTTTGATGCATTCAGGAGAGACTGTGATGGTAGCCCCCCTACACACACACACACACACAGGCACACACACTGACACACATGTGCACATGAGCAGATAGGCTTGAGTCTGCAGCTCACAAACTTCTTCATGATTGCCCACCTCGTCCAAAGTCTCTTGAGGTTCTTAGAGAAAGGATTGATACCCATTTTACAGAGGAAGCTGAGGCCAGCAAAGAATAGTGTTTTGCTTAAAGGAAAGGATGCGATAGAGCCGAGAAAATGTAGGGCCTCTGCGTCCCAGCCTCGAATCTTTCTGTTTCACTGCAGCTGTGAGCTGCAAGCCTAGAAGGCGGCTCACATCAACGTGGGCTAATTCACGCCCCGTTACCCACTCTACCCGATCCCACCTCCAAAGCCAACGCCTCCCCTTCGGTGGCCGCTGGGGAAAAGGGAGAGAACTGCCATAGCTTGTCTCTTTAATGCGCGCCCCCGGAGGCCCGGCGCGCCCCTGCCACTATAACTGGAGTGCATGAAGCAGGCTGCGCTCAGAGGAGGAAGGGCGGGAGCTGGGCACCCGTTGACTGACTTTTCTAAGTGCGATCAGTGCCCGTCCGTCCCGCCTCCATGGACCCATCCGGGGACAGCCACTGCTGAGGACCCCACGCCCACTAGGATTGCCGCTGGGTCGCACCCAAGCTACCGCACCGCGACCCCCGCGGGCTGTGCCGGCTCCCCCGCCTCTGCCCGCAGCTGTTGCCGTCGGGCCAGGGCTCTGCCGCCGCCACGCCTCGCGCCCCAAGCTCACCGACCGATGCTGGTGCACACCTACTCCGCCATGGTGAGTAGTCTCGCGGCCCCGGGCATACTCGGGTACTTTCCAACCATGCTGGACTTTCCAATCCTTCTGCCCCGTGCCAACGAAATCTCGGAGGGAGGGGGCCTCAGGGACTCCGCCAACTGAGAACGCGAGGCGCAAGTGACCGCTGTCCCCAGCCTGAGGCTCCTGCGCCCGCGGGTGGCTCGGAAATAATCTCGGGCCCCAGGAAGCCTGAGGGACGGCAGCTGGACCCTCCGAGCTGAGGAGGATCCTTTCGGGCGGGGGTCCTTTCAGCTCCAGCGGGTCACCTAACGCACCATCTCCGTCCCCAGGAGCGCCCCGACGGGCTGGGCGCAGCGGCTGGCGGGGCCCGCCTGTCGTCTCTGCCGCAGGGGGCCTACGGGCCGGCGCCCCCTCTCTGCCACACGCCGGCCGCCGCAGCTGCCGCCGACTTCCAGCCGCCCTACTTCCCGCCACCCTACCCGCAGCCACCACTGCCCTACGGCCAGGCGCCCGACGCCGCCGCAGCCTTTCCCCACCTGGCAGGAGACCCGTACGGCGGCCTGGCGCCGCTGGCGCAGCCGCAGCCTCCTCAGGCCGCCTGGGCCGCGCCCCGCGCCGCAGCCCGCGCCCACGAGGAGCCACCCGGCCTGTTGGCACCGCCTGCCCGCGCCCTGGGCCTTGACCCGCGCCGTGACTACGCCGCAGCCGTGCCCCGGCTCCTGCACGGCCTGGCCGACAGCGCGCACGGCCTCGCAGACGCACCGCTCGGCCTTCCCGGGCTGGCGGCGGCATCCGGTCTGGAGGACTTGCAGGTGAGAACCGAGGGGTCCGGGATGGGTCCGGACTGGCCGCGGTGGTTTAGTACCTTGTCTGGAGGCAGGAGGTGGCAAACGCAGGAACCCAACTTTTCTCCCAGCTCGCCACTTCTCACTGGTGACTCGGAGGATGCGTCCAACCTCCTGGGTTAGACGGTGCCTGGCCACCAAGGCTGCCTGGCACTAAGTCCGCCGGCACCGAGTCCGCCGCCTTGATGGCGGCGACCCTCGGCAGGAACCGAATCACTTCTTTTCTCTCCGCTGGGCCGTTGAGCCACGTATGACGTCCGTGGGGCAGCCCGCACCTGGGGCGAAGAGAGGCCTAATAGTTACCGGTTTAAGGTTCAAAATTCCGTTTTTGCACCGCACGGCGAGATACTCACGGCTCCAGCTTGGTGCCTAGACTTGGCGATTCCTGGGCCTGCCCGTTGCCGCCCCAGGCGGAGGTGGTGAGCATCGTGCGGAGCAGACCGGGACCTGGGGTCGCAGGGGCTTGGGGAGCCACGGACGACTAGGTCTTTATGCGCCCTCACCGCCGCCATCTCCTATTTGCAGGCGATGGATGAGCCGGGAATGAGCCTCCTTGACCAGTCCGTGATCAAGAAAGGTAAGGAATGGCGTGCATCGTCAGGGCACAGCCGGGCGACATGGTGCAGGCCCTGAGTGCACAGACCCATTTTCTTCACCTGCTGTGCCTCCTGTGTGTCGCCAGGCTGGGTGTCCACCAGAGGCTGGGCAGAGGTGCGAGCTTGATGAGTTTGCCCAGCACCCTGTAGCCTGGGGTGGGCCTGAGCAGGTCAGCTTCACTGGGCTGCAGCGCTGGGAGTCTGGCCTCTCTCCACCGAGGGGGAGGATGCTCTTGTGGATCTGGAGCTGATTTGCAGAACGAGTTAAACCACTTCCCTGTTTCCCTAAGAGGGGGGAATGGAAGTGCTGTTCCCACGGAGTTTGGGAAATGATTTTCACTTTAGAGAGCCTTAGCATTCCCCAGCCTGGCAGGCACTTTCTTCCCCTTCCTTCCAGCAGGGCCTTGGAGGCCTCTGGGGGGATTTTCTTTCTGTGGAGCTGGTGTGTGAATACTGTGTGTTAGGCTGTGTGCACCTGAGTCAGGACCCACCTGCTCCTGGGTGTCTGTGTCTATGTGAGTTCAGAGTCCTGCGTGTGTCTGAAATGTTTCTTTCGTGGGTGTCTTAGCATTTCTTGGAGGGTGAGTGTGTCTGTTTCTGTGAGTGTGTCTGTGAGGGGTGTCTCTGTACATTGGTGTGCATTTCTCTGCATTTGGAGGTCTCCATGTGTACAGTATCTCTGTTGTGTCCTGCACTTTGTTCTTTGGTATCTGAGGATTTCTAATCATGCAAGGGCCCTCTCTCTGTGTGCATATATAGGAGTATTTGTGTGACTCCTGGCATTAGTAAAATCCAGGAGGCACCTTTTCTGGCCTGAGGACCAAGTTCTGGCCATGCCAGAGGAAGGTGAGAGACAGACAAAAAGAGACAGCCAGAGAGGAGCAGAGACTCAGAGGGGCCCAGGCATTGGGTGGCCTCCTTACACTTGGGGCAGGTGCTGGAAGAAATTCAGAGGCGCACATGAGCTGCCCCAGGCAGGCACTGCTCCCACAGGATTTGGCTCGGGTTGTTTTTCAGACGAATGAATTCAAGCCTGGACTCTATTTGCCCTCCACTCGTTCTCGAGGGAGGCCAGGGTGGAAGTGGTGGTGGCAGGCAGGGTCTAGACTTCCAGGATGGCCAGGAGTGTGTAGGGGAAAGATGAGGCAACAGGACAGGAAGGTGGGGGAAGGGATGATATTGGGTCTATGTCCTGTATCTCTGGGAACTGGGGGTGTGGGGAGGACACTGGGAACCTTGTTGTGCGGCAGCTCTGCTGGCCAGGCTTGGTTGGCTTACTGGACAGCACCTTTCTTGAACCCCGAAGAAAGAGATCCGTCTGCAGTGGGCAAAAGCCTGCCTGGACTTCCTTGCCATAAGAAATATGACCATGGTGGTGGTCCCCAGTTCCCTACTCCTGCTCGGGCTCAAGAGACTGGGAGTCTAGGTTCACTGACTCCCTGAAAAAGGCTAAGACCCTGCATTTTAGAAAGGGGCTTGGGGAATCTCTGCCCTGCCCAAGGGTAGAAGGATCAGCTGTTGTTCTGAGCACGTTAACCCGGAACCCCGGTCCAAAGCCGAGACAGGAGGCTGGATGCGAGGTCCTCCCAGAGCTGGTTTCTCTCAAACAACTTCCAAGACTCCTACATCCTAGGGGTGCGCCGGAATCCCCCAAAGCAGTCCAAAGAACACAACCAGAGTCCGAACGTCCAGGGTGCGGCGCTCTGGCTCCCTGGAGCGGGGCGGGGCGGGGCGGGGCGGGGCAGGGCGGCGCGGACTCGGGCGTGCACCCACGGGACCCCAGCGCCAGCGGGTCTGTGACCGAGTGGAGCGAGGTGGAGCGCGGGCGATCTGAGCTGGGACTGCGCCCTGGACGCCACAGCCGGGACGTTGAGTTCCAGCCCGCGGCACTGCAGCAAAGGGGAAGGGGCAGGAGCCAGGTACAGCTGGATCCGGAGGTCGCGACCCAGTGGAAGGCGTGGGCAAACGACCCAGGGCGGCCGCGGCAGCGAGGCCGGTGGGCTCCTTGCTCCCTGGAGCCGGCCCGTCCCCACACCCGCCCTCGGCGCCCCTGGCAGTTTTCCCCTCTGCCCTCCGCGGCCACTGCGTGACTCGGCCTCGCCGCCGGCCCCGTGTGGAGTGAATTAGCGCCCTCTTTCGTCCGCTGCCCTTCCGACGGCACCCGGAGCCCCTGTCCTGTCCCACAGACCTTCGGCGTCCGTGAGTGTGGGATGGGAGCCTGCCCTGCCAGGGAACTGGAATCAGAGAATGTCGCTCTTGGCCACCCGAAGCGTCGGATCCCTGCAGCGCCTCCCAGCCAGGGCCAGAGGGGCGGCTGCGTCGGTAAGGGTGGGGTCCTGGGTACGAAAGGGAGGCAGCTGCAGCCTCAGCCCCGCCCCAGAAGCGGCCTTCGCGTAGCGATGGTGGGTCGGGGGGTGGGGCGGTTCTCGGGCTTCGCCTTCGCCAGTGCGGCGGGGCAGAGGCTCCTGCAGCTCGCAGGACCCAGACCTGGGCTGCAAAAGCTTCGCTGACGGCAGGCAAGGGTCCGGGAGGGGCAGCCAGGCGACGCCCCCCGCCTTACCACACGCTCTCGGGTCGCCGACCAGTTGCACCCGCGGGTGGGGCAGGGGATGGCGGGGCTGAGGCCGACCCTAAGCGAATAAGGGAGCCCTCCATTTCCTGCCCACATTTGTCACCTCCAGTTTTGCAACCTATCCCAGAGCCACAGAAAGCAGGCAGGACTGGTGGGGAAACGCGGCTGGACAGGAATATTTTCCAGCCGACAAGAGCAGTGAGCAGGGCTGTTCGGGTCTCACGAGGAGCTCAGAGGAGGCGAGTGAGTGCCTGAGGTTGGGAGGCTGCCTAGAGAAGAGATAGCTGAACCGGGCTCAAGAGGTGCTTAGTGGGTGTTTGTTGAATGAATGAGTGATGGGTTTTGAAGTCTGAGTGCATTGAAAGAGGGGGTGTGAGAAAAGGGCTACTTTCATCACACAGGGCACAGCATGTGCAAATGCCCTCCCTGTGGAAAAGCCAGACAGGTTAAAAAGGTTACCAACGTGTGTAGGTTTCAGGTTACACAATCAGAACTGAAGGGGAGTGGTCAGGGATGACAGCTGAGATGGATCCCTCCTTCCCTCTGGAGGAGAGTGGGTGGTTGCCTACTTGGGGGTGGAGAACCCCTCTCCACAGGCTCAGCTGTCCAATCTCCGGGGGTCTCCAGGACATGAGCAGCTGTAAACAGTTGCCCTGTTCCCTGCTGTTTGGCCCTGGAGAAGGAGGAGGGAGATGGGGAGGGCCTCCCCTTTCCAGAGAATCTCTAAGCAGCCCAGGACATGGATGAGATACTGACCTCTGGGACAGAATTTGAGAGGGTGCCAAAAAACTCAGTAATCAAGATAAATAGGCCAGGTGCAGTGGCTCATGCCTGTAATCCCAGCACTTCGGTAGGCGGAGGCGGCTGGACCACTTGAGGTCAAGAGTTGGAGACCAACCTGGACAACATGGTGAAACCCTGTCTCTACTAAAAATACAAAAAAATTAACTGGTCATGGTGGTGCTTACCTGTAATCCCAAAGCTGAGACAGGAGAATTGCTTGAACCCGGGAGGTAGACGTTGCAGTGAGCCGAGATCACGCCACTGTGCTCCAGCCAGGGTAACAGAGAGAGACACAGTTTCACTCTTTCGCCCAGGTTGGAGTGCAGTGCCACGATCTCAGCTCACTGCAACCTCTGCCTCCCAGATTCTCATACCTCAGCCTCCGGAGTAGCTGGGATTACAGGCACCCACCACTATGCCAGCTAATTTTTGTATTTTTAGTAGAGACAGGGTTTCACAGTGTTGGCCAGGCTGGTCTCAAACTTCCGACCTCAAGTGACCTGCTCTCTTAGTTCTCCCAAAGTGCTGGGATTACAGGCATGAGTCACCACACCTGGTCTTTTTAAATAAAAACAGTGCAAAAATCCACAATAAACAAAATATCAAAATTTTACAGAAAAAAATTTACAGAATCTGAACTTGAACTTCCACAACTCTTTCTCCCTTGCCTCAAGGCTACTGTCTGCCCTAAAACGCAACTAAAAAACCATGCAGATGGAGTTTGGACTTTATCTGAGAACGGTGGGAGCTATGGAAAAGCGTGGAGCAGGGGAGTGAAGGATAGAAATTATACATAAAAGAAACCTTGGGCCGGGCACGTTGGTTTACGCCTGTAATCCTAGCACCTTGGAAGGCCGAGGCAGGTGGATCACCTGAGGTCAGAAGTTCGAGACCAGCCTGACCATCGTGGTGAAATCTCATCTCTACTAAAAATACAACAAAAGTAGCCAGGCATAGTGGTACACACCTGTAGCCCCAACTACTGGGGAGGCTGAGACAGGAGAATCGCTTGAACCCGGGAGGCCATTGCACTCCAGCCTGGGCGACAAGACGGAAAACTCTGTCAAAAAAAAAGGAAGAAACTCTCTAGCAGTTGGAGAGGAAAACTTAATCAGACAGGTCCCAGCAGGGGAGATGAGGAGACTCAAAGCAGGGCATTTGCACCTGCTGTGCCCCAGTGTGGGCTGGGAGCAGGTCACTACCCCCTCCTGTCTACTTTCTTCTTGCTCTGACCCCTCCAAGTTTTGGACCCTAAGTGTAGTCTAAGGAACCACATGCATCAGGATCCCCAGGGGATGCTTATTAAAAATGCAAATTTCAGGCCGGGCGCGGTGGCTCACGCCTGTAATCCCAGTACTTTGGGAGGCCGAGGCGGGTGGATCACGAGGTCAAGAGATCGAGACCATCCTGGTCAACACAGTGAAACCCCGTCTCTACTGAAAATACAAAAAATCAGCTGGGCATGGTGGCGCATGCCTGTAATCCCAGCTACTCAGGAGGCTGAGGCAGGAGAATTGCCTGAACCCAGGACGCGGAGGTTGCGGTGAGC